CAGGTAGGCACCCCTCACCCTCTGAAGCAGGTAGGCACCCCTCACCCTCTGAAGCAGGTAGTCCTCCCACCCCACTCCTGAAATAAGTAGATAACCACTGTATTTCGTCTCTCTGCTTGTTAGTAGACAGTGCTCTCAATTATTTTGGTTTATAGAATGATTATTTTTGTTCTCTGTCATTTATCAAGAGGAGGGAGGTTTCAAGTTGGTAGCCTCATTTTTTATTCATTTCACTTTTCTATATACTTTAATTTTTCTTGTGTTTCTAATAATCTCCTAGTACAGTTTTCCACATGGTCAAATGTATCATATGATTGCTAGACTGTTGTTCCTTTTCCAATGAATTGCTAAAGTAGCACCATGATTAGATTAATATGATCTACTATGTTTCCTAGCATTGTTTTCTTATCATTAATATTCTTTATGCTTTGAAAATTCTTACCTAGGGTCTTCTAGGGATTTTTAACTTATTCTTCATGTTCTCCATACATGCCCCATCCTCTTTTTTGAGCCAAGGTATTGCTGTGCAGACCAGGACTCAATATTCTCTTGTCTCAGCATCCTTACTTGGGATTACAAGTATGTGTCATCACATCTGGTCTGTCCATGGCCTCTTAAATCCAATTAGTACTTGTAAATCTCAGCTTAATGCATGATACTTTTCCCTAATGAAGGTAATTTTTAATTTATTAAAATAATGAAGATAAAACACATGATTCAAATAACATGGAATCATGAGAAACCAAAAGGAAATTGACATCCCACTTTCCAGTTATGACAACTAATAAAATATTACATGTCTGTCTGGACATGGCTTTATCAATGAGTGTCAGTTCTGCTTTGGAAACTGGCTTCATCATTTTCATCCGGTGTACATACTGAACTCTTGATTGTAGATTACTTTCTCATATGATCACCTCTCTTTAATGATTATATAGTATTATTCCTTTGCAGTTGGACTATAAGAACTTGTAGTAACTTTTAAAACTATTTTTAATTAAATAATCTGTGTAAAATATATGTATCCATAGTAAATAGTATTAAAACAATAAACATCAATGTTCTTCCTGCTTCCTAGCCTTAACACAGCTTTCATAGACAGCCGTTCTCAACTGTTTGCTTTGATACTTTGATTTTCATCCCTTAGTTTTCTGGATACTTTTTAGCTTTTAAAATTGTGTGTGTTGTCTACACCTGATGTGAAGGCCAGAGGGGGACATGGGATGTCATCCTTTATCACTCTCCATCTTTTTTTAATTTTTATTTTTATTTTATTTACATTGTGTTTTGCCTGCATGTATGTCTGTGTGAAGGTGTCAGATCTTGAGGTGCAAACAGTTGTGGGCTGCCATGTGGGTGTTGGCAATTGAACCCAGGTCCTCTGTAAGAGCAGCCAGTGCTCTTAACCGTTGAGCCATCTCTCCAGCCCCCCACTCTCCATCTTTTAAAGATGTAGTACTTTTATTAATTCTTTGAGAATTTCATTTATCACACAGTCTAATTTGATCCTACTCACCCTCAACTTCTTCCCAACTCCTCCCAGTTCCACTCCCTTCCCCGCCCCTCCCAACAACATGTCCTTTTTTGTTTTTAATAACCTACTGGATCCAGTTTGTGCTGCCCATGCAGTTGTGGATGTGGGACCATTGATTGGTCAACTCCCTCCACCTTAATCAATTTCAAGAGGACCACACAACTCTGATGGTGTGCCTATTTCTACCCACACCCTGGGGTTATCTGCAGGGTAGCCAGGCCTGGCTTCCTATGTGGGTGGACTCAGGTCTTCATGCTTACACAGCAGGAGCTCTTGCCCTCTGAGCCATCTCTTCAGTCATGTGCACTTTTAGTTCTTTGCGCACATTCAGCGAAATCTTAATACAATTTTCTGGGTGGTCAAATTACTGCATGACTTCTAGTTTTGCCTTTAAAAAAAAACCCCTCTAAGACTTTACTTCCAGAACCTCTTGTCCTCTGTTTTTAACCTTAACCAGTTGGTCTCTTTCATCTCTAGTGGTTACCTTTTTAAGGTTTTCCTGTTCTGTGTATTATATCTCGTGCCATATGCTTATTTCATGGGTTTTCATCCCTAAGTGTTGTATGGGCTTTCCCTGGAAATTTTCTTCAATTTTCTGGGTCTCCCAGTCCCTAATTCTCATTTTTCCTTTTCATTTAGGTGTTTTGTCTAAATAAAAGCGTTAAGCATTTTATTTAAATGTTTACTGACATGAGGGTTTTTTGTTTTTGTTTTTTTTTTTTTTTGGTGTTTTTGTTATTGTTTTGTTTCATACTTGAGAATGAGGCATCCAAAGTCAATCAAAGTTTCTATGCCTTAATTTGGGGACCAGGAGATGTGCTTAACTCTGGAGTGGCTGAAGAACCCTATAGTAGTGTGGTTTAGTGCACCACCCAGCCCAGCGACTTACTGACCCCAGTGGACGCCAAGATTGCCACTCAAGGCTGGACTGCCATTTCTCTATTCACAATTTGCACACGTGCCCCAGGATTACCTTGCAGAAATGACCAGAGAGATTTGTAGGCCCAGCGTGGGCAGTGTGGGAAGTGTGTGGGTATATGTGGGGGTGTCTTTAAAATGTCACTGGACTGCATCCTCTGGGGAGTGTCAGAGGACCCCACAGGGTCATAGAGAGACTCAAGTCAGACTAGGGCTGGGTATAGGACCAGAACTGGCTTGCTAGTGCAGTTACTTAGGAATTCCTCTAGCTTTTCCAGCCTCAGTTTCCTCCTTGGCCAAGTGGAAGGAAGCAGTCTTCATCCTGCTCCGAACCACCCATGCTCTAGCAGCGGCTCTTGGAGCTGGGTCTGAGCAAGTGCATGGGCTAGGCAGCCTCACCTCAACTTCTGCCTGGGTGCCCTGCCACACTTCCCGCCCCTTTCTCAGGGCACTCTGAGCCTGCCCCTGGTGCTATCCCTGTTTTCAGGCTTCCTGGTTTGGAAGCAGGTCTGTGGGAGAAAAGTTCACCCATGTGGAAGGGACGGATGGACAGGTCTATGGGGTGTGGTGCTGATCAGTGACCAATACTCAAGCCTGTGCCCACTTACAATTCTTCCATTGTGGATCTAGCCTGGCTTTCCAGATACAACCCTGAACCAGACTCCTCCAGTCACACAGGGTGGGATGGGGTGGTGACTGAGCCTTCAGGGAGCTACTTGATGCCTGGTTGCCCTGTCTCTGGCTCAAGCATAGTAAAGGAGCCCTGAGCAGGCTCACGAAGCGATTGCACAAGGGGGTCTCTTTCTTCCTCTACTGAAGTTCTGGAGGCCTGCCTGTCTGACTTGAGGGACAGACACCCACGCAAATGGACTAAAATTCAGCCATTCTAAGTCTCAGCCTGGGGGTGTTAGACATTTGTTCTTAACACTAGGAGACTGGCCTTTTGGGAGCTATCCAGAAGTCTGGCCCTAAGGTATCCACACACCCCCAACTGCACACCCCTCTTCAAAAGAGATACTTATTTGGGTGGGAGAAGCTTAGAGAAAGAGAGAGAAAGAATTTATTAATAAAAAGAATCATCGGCTTTTTAAAAAAGCGAATCAAATAGCTTATGTTTGGGCCCTAAATGTTTTGCTTTCCTCAGGAAATCATCTGTCAGTCTTCCCTGGGGGTAGAATGGTTGAAAAGAGTGTGAGCCTGCTCGCTAGAGTTCCGGGCTGGTCAGGGACAGGGCTAGAGAACCTAGAGCTGTAACACAGTGTTTTACTTTGTCCTCATCTTGGCTAGCTGTGTTCCAGCTGTGCCTGAGGTTGAAATTTCCTAGTTCAATTTCACAGGAAATAAATTTACCTTGTGTGGTTCGAGCAGGAAGAGAAGTCTTCTGTTGGCTCAGGACATGGGTGGAGAGGTGCCGAGCACCACTGCTCAGGAACCCTCTCGGGGAGCCCTCAGGGGAGCCTTGTACCTCCTCCTCCTCTGGTAGCATGAGAGCAGGTGCTCCTCTGACTTGGAGGATTTTAAGGCTGGATCAGCTTGCTCCTCAGCATTGCCCCCCTGAACACTTAAATTTCTTTTTATCCCTGCTGGGTGGATTAAACTTTAATAAATACATGGGATTGTTGTTGTTGTTGTTGTTGTTGTTGTTTGGCTGAGGTTTTTTTATCTTTAAAAAAACAGACTGCCCTGCTCTCAGGAGCCTGAGGCAGGAGGTTCTCAAGTTGAAGAAAAGGAAAAGGATTGTTTTCTTGACACGGGGCTGATTGTGTTGTACTTTGCTCTTCTTTGCCCACATCTTGAGGTTCAGGGGCCTCTCAGTACATGTTGGAAGCTGCCTGGTAAAACCTTACCTTCCTACCTACTCTTGGCTTTCGTTCCCTGGTGTCCTTTTTTAAAACTGTTGCTGCCTTTTAAGCCATGACTGTCCTAATCAGTCACTGCAAAGGCCGCAGCAGAGGGGATTCTGTTCCCTCAGGCACTGACTCTTTCAAAGCCACCAGGGGAACTTATGTAAATCTCTGTCCCTCAAACAGAACTCAAGATTCAAAGGTTGAGGTAGAATTCTGCTCCTCAGAGAGGCTGAATAGCAAATCACTCACATCTCCCAAAAAGCCCTGTCCTTCTCCTTGCCCCCACTTAAAAGCCCTTCTCCACCCGGCTCCTCCCTACCACTTCCTGTCAGCTAGTTGCTGACAGTCTCCTGGCCGCAGGTGTATTTTATGTAATCAAACAAAGGTAACACATCTTTGCATCATTAACAAATGTTCCAGAGCATAAACAAAAGTAACACACCTTAAAATAATATTCTACAACATTCCCAATTCTTGTAAGTTCGTGAAGAAAGGAAACTGGAACCATTTCACTTTCTTAGAATGTGTCTAGAATGTGCAGCAGAGGTCAGTATCTGGCTCCCAGAGCAGAGCAGTTTACAGCTTGTCTTCACAGTTGTTGTGTGCCCTGTCTGCTGTCCGAGCAGGGGGCCAGGGCTGAGCATTATCAGGTCCTACTGTTGTTCTGATTCTTGCTTTAAGAAAAGACAGTATTAGTTTTCTCTTTCTGATTTTGCAGTACCGGGATGTGAAACTGGAGCCATACATACTACGTGGGCACTCTACCACTGAGCCACACCTGGTTTCCTTTTTCTAAGAGTTTCTTGGGTGTGCATATTGGGTCTCTATAGTGAGTCAGTTGAAGGAACCCAGAACTGAAGCTTATTGAATCAATGCACTAAGTCACAGTGATGGATACATGAGAGAGTAATAAAGAATGGGAGATATGAATACTGTGCACATTGGAGTGGAAGTTAGTCATTCAAGACCACATGCTTAGTCAAAAGAAAGAAACCAGAAATGGTCAGTGGATAGCTTAAATGTTTCTTAGTAATAAACTGGCAAATAAAAGAAATACAGCCATTAGAAAGAGTCAGCTAGCCCCCCAAATGTGATATGAAAATGCCTATGGGATACATATTTAATAAAATGTATTACATGATGTTCATAGCATCCTTCTGTCTAGGTAGGTGTGTGTGTGTATGTGTGTGTATGCGTGTGTGTGTGTGTGTGTGTGTGTGTGTGTGTGTGTGTGTGTGAAGACAGTGGAGGTGGAGGTGGAGATGTGCACATATATGCAGGTGCCCAGACCAGAGGAGGTTCTTGGGTATCTTCTATTGTGCCCGCCCTTATTCACTGAACCAGAGCTCACAGGATTTTTTGTTTGTTTGTTTGTCTTGTTGTCGAGGCTGGCGACCAGGGCTCCAGTGTCCTCTTCTGAACTCTGTAGGCACCTGTACACGACATTTTCTCCCACATAAACACACACATATACACATAATTAGAAATATAAAATAGTCTCCAAAAATTTTAAGAATAAAAAAGTGCTTTAATGTGAAATTTACCCTTCAAAAAAGTTTAGAAATGGAATATTGTAAGAGCATGGCAATAATACTCAGTCATATGAGATCCCTTTCTCAGCCCATTATTCAGTATACTTTGAGGTTGTGGTTATTAGTAAAGAATAATCTGAAATCTGACATTGACATAGTCTTGAAAACCTCTGTGGCCTCTTCTCCTGCCAGTCTTTACGGTATGCCTCATCCACCATTCCTGTCTTCACACATAACAAGGTCGGCCCTGCCTGAGTGCCTTTGCCTTCTGATCCCATGACTCAGCTTTGCTTCCTCCAGATAGCCTCAGCATATGCTGTGCCCCTTTCGGGTGTTTCTTGGTTATCACCTTATAGAGAGGCCTTCCCAATGCTCCCTTTTGAAAAAACAGTATAACAGAGTGTCTTAGTACAGGCTCCAGTTCAAGTAACAAAGTAGAACCTATCCAGTGACTTAACAAAAAGCTTAACCTCCCAGTTGTGGAGGCTGAGGAGTCCAAACTAAAGATGGCAATCCTTGGGCTGCAGAGATGGCTCAGGAGGTAAGAGTAGGACTGCTCTGCAGAGGACCTGAGTTTGGTTCCCAGCAGCCCTGTCAGGGTCTCACAAGTGCCTGGAACTCCAGACCAGGAGGATCCAACACCTCCAGCTTCCATGTGCACATAGCCACACAAAGACACAAAATTAAAAATAATAAAATCTTTAAAAAAAAAAAACAAACATTCTCGTCCTAGTTATGTACTCACATGGTACAGAGAGAAGGATTGCCACACTCTTCTCTTTTAAAAAATTAATTATTATTTATGTGTATGTGTAGGACACTGCAGAGCCCAGAGAGGCTATTGGAGCCAATGGACCTGGAGTTAGAGGTGTTTGTGAGCCCCCATGTGGGTACTGGGAAACAAACCCAGATCTCTGCTACAGCAATAAGTGACCTTAGCTGCTAAGCCAGCTTTCCAGCCTGTCTCTTCATGTAAGGCTGCTAATCTGCAAGAGCAGTAAGTGTTCTCAACTGCTGAGCCATCTCTCCATCTCTTTCTTCCCATGGAGGTGTTAATCTCATTCATGAGGGCAGAGCTCTTTCAGACTTCAGCTCCAAATACCAGCACATCATAGATCAGAAGTGGTACATATAAATTTGGCTGAGGAACACAAACCTTCAGTCCACATACTACCATCATCAAGTTCCTTCCTTATCTTTGATTTTCCTTTGTATTGCTTCTTGTGTAGCACACAAAATCTTTTTACCCAATTTTGTGGTGTGTGTGTATGTGTGTGCAAGTGTGTGTGCGTATGTGTGGAGGTCAGAGGACAACTTTAGGTATCATTATTCAGGAACCAAGCATTTTGGCTTTATTTGTATTGTGTGTGCATGCACATGTGAAGGTCAGAGTCCACTTCCTGTTGTGTTCCTCCAGGGATACCTGTCTTCCACCTTGCTTTTTTTTTTTTTTTTTACATTTGAGATTGGTTGGCCTAGAACTCTATGTAGACAGGCTGGCTTTGAAATTAGAGAGCTGCCTGCGTCTACATCCCAAGTGCTAGGATTAAAGATGTAGGCAACCACACCCATCCCTTCCACCTTTCTTCTGGAGACAGAGCTCTCCCTGGCTTGAGGCTCGCCTGCTGGATTAGGCTGGCTGTCTCCAGCTTCTCAGAGCTGGGATTACAAGAGCATGCCACCCTGCCTGGCTTTCAAACTTGCCCTCAGTGAACTGAAGTCAGAGCTTCATGCGTATACAGCAAACGCTTGACCAGCTGAGCTCTCTTCCTAGCTTATCACCTGATTCGTGTGTGTGTGTGTGTGTGTGTGTGTGTGTGTGTGTGTGTGTGTGTGTGTAGTTTGAGGTTAGATGATTTGCCTACTTTCCTACATAGTAAATGGTTGAGAGATGTGTAATAAATCTAAAATGAACAGTAGAAACTTTTGAACTTTGTACCTAATTTGAATTTTAAAAAGTTACATATCACATGTGATAAATCCAAAGTTTTACATGTCTTCTTCAAAGGTTTTACCTTTGGATGAAATGTCTAAATGGTCAATTTTTTGTTTTGCAGAGCAAGAACATGATCCTGGACCAAGCCTTTAAGTACATAACAGAACTGAAGCGGCAGAATGATGAGCTTCTGCTCAACGGAGGGAACAGTGAACAAGGTGGAGCATGCAGAGTTGTGCTGGCTCCTGTCTGTTAGACTGTGCTCAGGGGTCTGTGCTGCCGGGACATGCACTTGAGGACGTGGAGAACTCCCCGACCCTCAAATCAGAGTAGACTCGATAGCATTGCAAATGAGATCATGTAGCTGAACTCCTTCCTCCTCTGTGGCTAATTTAATCTTGTAGGAATACATAACTTCAGTCTTGATGACTTCTGTGTATTTCATGTTTGCCTAAGTCGTGAACCCAATAGTGTTCAGTCTCCATTCTTCCACTTGGATCTTGCAGTTAGGAGACTCTCACAAGACTCTGACTCATAGAAGAGTTCTTCTCAGTGAAACTCACAAACAAGATCAGAGGATAGATCTGAGCCAAATTTTAACAATGCATTGACTTAGAAGACCAAAATACTCATTTTGTGATTATTTACATTAATGTAAAGCATGTATTCAACTACCAGATCATTTAACAATACTTGGTTTTTTAGGTGTAACTTTTTGTGCTGTGGGTTTGGATTTTTCCAGCAGCATTGGAGAGAAGCTGAAAGGAAACACACTCCAGGCCAGTAGAGCTCAGGTGATAGGCTGTTGAGTGGCCATTTACTATGACCATTTATTATGAAAAGAACAGAGAATTTCCTGTGACGACCTAGTAGACCACCTTAAAAGGAACAATGTTTTACTGAGGTTGGACAGTGCTGTGGAATGCTGCTTGTGATCGGCAAGGATGGTATTGGGAACCATGTCTGGAAGGACAGCATTCAGATCTTCTTTACATCCAGTTAAAAACAGTTGCTTTCCTACATCAGCTTTCTTTGATGGTGCAGACCCTTATGGATAAATACAGCAGCTAGTTAGATATATTGGTGTTTGGGAACATTGTAAAGCACCCCATAAGATGCTTTGAAGGCCAGAATGATCTGCAGCCTTTTTCCAATGATAGCTCCTTTGGCTTAGAACACATAAGCCAAACAGTCATGTTACCTTAGAGAAAAGGGAAGCTAATGAAGAAATACCAGGCACACAGGGCTCAGAAAAGTCCTAGCAGCCAGGCCAGGGTGGGGCAGAGCCTAAAGCAGCTTCAGCTGGCTCATGTTGTTGTTGTTCTTTTGGTAGAAAATAGTTTATTTCATTTAATGCAGAGTAAAGGATAACACCTTCTCAAGGATAGACAATATCAAAGAGACCACTGTGCCCATCTGTATCTCAGGCAGGCTTCGTAATAAAGTCTGTAGGAGAAGCTTTACCTTGAGAACATACTCCTGTCCAGGAGATTAACAGGCCCATTTTAATAGATTCCAAATGAGGGGGGCAATAATATACTAGTAGTAGTAAATAGTAGTTTACACACATACACACACACACACACACACACACACACACACAGAGAATAATATAATATAATATATATATATAACATGATTATATACAATATATATAATATTATAATATGGTAGTGACCCTCTAGTCAGTTCATAATGTCACATCTTCACCTAGGACTAGAGATAAGCCGTACATCCCATTTCTTTGACCAGTAATTGGAGCCCTGCAGTTCTGATTCTTGGTTTAAAAGCTGCTGATTATGAGGGAGCGGCTCATCCCAATGACCTCCAAGCCTTCTAATATCTACCTGCCTACTTCATATTTCTTCCTCGAGATAAGACCCTCAGGTCATCTAGCAGTTGGACATCTAGTTAGTCTGGCTACTTTGGGCTACAAGAATTTAAGGATTCTGTTCTTGCTGACTTTGAACTACATGAAGTTAAGATTGCCGCAGGACTGCCTGAGGCTGGATTGACTGTAAACAAGAGGAGGAAAAAAATTAAGATAGTTAAGCACACAAGGTCCAAGACTAATATAATCACTACTAAGATTATAATAGGTACAATTCATTTCATTTCGATTCTGAAAATTGGTCCAATTCCAAAGCTATTTGCCAAAAGGGATGGTAGTGTTTAGCATGGTTTTAACCTGGTTTTGTCAATCAGATGGGACATTATCAGAATTAAGAATTACACTAATCAGCCTTGATAATAAAACAAGTGTCCTCATTGGGTAGTGTGAGGATATCTATCTAGTATGTCCTGATCACCCATAGGGTGCTATGGCAGGCTGCTTTGAAGACTATCCCACAAGTTGATGGATTTGAGCCAGAGACTGCTCAGCTCAAATGCTAAGGGCTACACCTTAGCATTCTGTACCATACAGTTTAAGAGGCCTGGCAGTTGTGGTAACCCTAAACTCGGAGCCCCGAGCAGAGAGCTTTTAGCTTATCCAAAGCATGTTACCAGGAATCAGTTTGCCTTACCCCGTTTCATCTGTTAGCTGTGTTCCTGGGAAGTTGGGGATTGGGAATGTTGAGACTTGTAACCACAGGAGATTCTCAGTGGCTGGCCTGTAAAGGTCTATAGTTTAAAAGGAGTATAAAGGAAGCTTGGGTGTCACTCTGGGAAGAGAACCTTACAGCACCAGAGAGCTCATGGCCCTGCTGAGGCATCTGAAGGCTAGAATTGGAATTCACTGGCTTAGCAGGTATATTTTTGTTTAAGTTGTTATAATCACTGACATTCACCAATATTTTTACATCTTCATTTCTAATATTTTAGCTGAGGAAATTAAAAAGCTACGGAAACAACTGGAAGAAATTCAAAAAGAAAATGGCCGATATATTGAATTATTGAAAGCAAATGACATATGCTTATATGATGACCCCACAATCCACTGGAAAGGAAATCTGAAGAACTCAAAGGTGTCGGTTGTTATTCCGAGTGACCAGGTCCAAAAAAACATCATTGTGTATTCCAACGGGAGCCAGCCTGGGGGAAACAGCCAGGGGACAGCCGTTCAGGGAATCACCTTTAATGTCGGTCACAGCTTACAGAAGCAAACTGCCAATGTGGTGCCAGTGCAGAGGACCTGCAAGCTTGTGACTCCTGTGTCTATTTCTGGAGTTTACCCTTCGGAAAACAAGCCGTGGCATCAGACTACAGTGTCTGCACTGGCTGCCAACCAGCCTGTTCCCCTTTGTCTTCCCGCTGCCATTTCTGCTCAAAATATTCTCGAACTTTCTACTTCCGAAAGCCAATCAAGTGTGCTTGGTGCCACTGGCGGCCCACTGATCACCGTTGCAGTTGGCCCTGACCCTCACCAGCATCGTCCCTTGCACACATGCCTAAATGATCAAAATGCTCCAGAAAATAACAACGGGCAAGAGAGCCCTAAATCATCAAAGAAAACAGTTGCGTGTGTCACAAGCATCTCCTCCGGCAACTCAGCAGCTGCCTCTAACGTCCATCATGAAACCAAATCTGGCCCAGGCGTGCAGGACTTCAGTGAAGACTTGCAAAACACCCTTGCTGTGTCAGCTACCTCCACAGCATGCTCCGAGCCTCCCAGATGTATGGGTGACTCTTCCCCGGGGAGCATTAGCAAGACAGCAGACTCAACGAATACGACAACAGTGGTGGCCCCAGCTCATGCCGGTGTAGTGAAGACCACCCTCCCGGTGAGCAGTCTCTCTGCAAATCCTTTGGACAGTGGTTGGACCCTTTCTTGTTCTTTGCCTTCTTCAAGTGTTAGTGCTTCAGATTTGAAAAACATCACTAGCCTTACCCGAATCTCTTCAGCTGGAAACACACAGACAACATGGACTACTTTGCATCTGGCAGGAAACACTATCCAGCCTTTGAGCCAGACACCGTCTTCTGCTGTGACTCCAGTACTGAGTGAGTCTGGTACCAGCCCTACCCCGAGCCACCACAAGCATGTGGCTACAGGCATCACCTTAAACACTTCCCTTCCAGCAGATGGACCACCAGCTGAGCACGTCATGGTAACTTTGCCTTCATGTCCACCCTTACCTATGCAGCCACCAACTGCCCAGCCACAAGTTAAATCTCAGCCTCCAAAAAATATCCTTCCCTTGAACTCAGCAATGCAAGTGATTCAGATGGCTCAGCCAGTTGGGTCAGCTGTCACTGCGGCTCCAGGTAACCAAAACGTTATCATTCTTCAGCCACCCAGCACGACCCCATGCCCAGCAATGATGAGGGCAGAGGTTCCCAGCCAAGCAGTAGGTCAGCAGATTGTCATCATACAGGCAGCCAATCAGAACCCATTGCCACTCCTCTCTGCTCCCCATCCGGGCCCTGTTCGACTTCCTGTTAATGGGGCCAGTGCTATAATAGGGTCTCATAATTCTGTGCAAAATGTGCCAGCCCCACAGACTTTTGGGGGGAAGCATCTTGTCCACATATTACCAAGACCTTCATCTTTATCCATGTCTAATTCAACCCAAACCTTTTCTGTTACCATGTCAAACCAACAGCAGCCTCAAACCATTTCTTTAAATGGACAGCTCTTTGCTTTGCAGCCTGTTATGTCTTCATCAGGAACTACAAATCAAACCCCTATGCAAATTATTCAACCCACCACCAGCGAAGATCCAAATACCAATGTTGCCCTGAACACATTTGGGGCTCTGGCCAGCCTCAATCAGAGCATATCCCAGATGGCTGGCCAGAGCTGTGTACAGTTGTCTATTAGCCAGTCTGCTAATCCTCAGACTCCTGCAAACAGTCAAACCAGTCCTGCTAACGGTGTTCCCCTAGCAACAACTGTAGCACCTCCCGTGACAACAGAAAATTCAGCCACACTAGCCAGTACTTACAGTCTAACAACAGCCTCCTCCACAAACCCTGTCACTTGTTTGCCCCCTACCATGAAATCCAAAAGACTGAACAAGAAGCCAGGTGCCAAGAAACATGCAGCTAACAAGCCAGCATGTCCCCCAAATTCAGTCAGAGATGTGGGCAAGCTAGATGGCCCCAGAACAGACAGCTCAGCACAACTGTCGTGTAGTGATGGACTGCTGGACAGCCTCCCTGTCAGCCTAGCGTCTGCTGCCGTGTCCCAGGCCAAGAGTGTTAGCAGTTCCGCTCCACTGGCCATTCTGAATTCTGACTCAGTAGCCCCTGAGTCTGTGTCCAGATCTAAGTCAGCAGAAGACTGCAGCTCATCCTCCCAAGAATCTGAAACAAGTGAACAGTCTGCAGTGGACCCAGCAAAATCCAAAGATTCCACTCCCATCTTGCAAGAGACATCTCAGGGCACACCACCAACTGCTGTAGCATTGTCCAGTGCTGCAAAATCCTGTACCACAACCAATGTGTTGATTCCGTCTCCTATTGAATCCCAGATTGTGGTTTCTCAGGTTTCTGGTATGTCATCCACTACAAGCACTTCGAGCACTGACTGTATTTCTGAGGTAGAAACTGTGGCAGAACCTTGCCCAGTTCAGCAGGATGCACTGGACACCATGCAAACCCCAGGGCCTTTAAAGGGGCAGGGTCTGACTATGTTGCTGTCCGATCTTACTAAAGAGAAAGACCTTCAGAAATCGTCTCTTTCTGTCCAGATGGATCACCCTGATTTTTCTCCAGAAGACTCTAAGCTGGGTGACTCTAATGTCGAGTTGCATCCCAAACAGGAACTGTTACTGCTGAGCGATGACAGAGACCCAGCACAGCACCGCCCCTGCCTCCCTGATCAAGAGGCTATTAATGGCTCTTTGCTCCCCAGCAGGCAGGCTGACTCTCCCATGTCAACCAGCTCTGGCAGTAGCCGCAGTTTCTCGGTTGCATCCATGCTTCCTGAAACAGCTCGGGAAGATGTGACCAGCAGTACGACAACTAACGCATGTGACAGTTGCACCTTTGCAGAGCAAACTGACATCGTAGCCCTTGCAGCAAGAGCTATTTTGGACCAGGAGAGCATTGAGAAGGGAAGGGTTGGCACACAGGCTGAGATGAGGGAGGTTACTTCCAAGCCTTCTGAAACCTCTTTAGAGGGAGAGCAGCCTTTTAAACCACAGGTCCATAAGGAGCCTTGCACAGGACAGGCAGATGCAACACCAAATGAATTTAACTCTCAGGATTCAGTGGAAGTCACAGTTGATAGGCCTCTCGAAAAGCCTAGCTGTTCTCTGGGAATTAAAACATCAAATGCCTCCTTACAGGTGTCGGCCTCTCAGCCACCAAGTCTTACCAGTTTAAGTGTGAATAATCTTATCCATCAGAGCAGTATCAACCATCCTCTGGTCAGCTGCACAGGGTTATCCCAACCTTCCGAGCAAACATCTATTCCTGTGACCGTCAATATGACTGTTGCATCCAGTTCTTATGGCAGCCAGCCCCCTGTGCCACCTCTGATGACAGAATATTCCCAGGAACAGCTGAATAGCATGACTAGCGCCATACCAAATCCACAGCTTCAAGAACCCCTTCCAAAGCCTAGTCACGAAAGCCGTAAAGATTCTGCAAAGCGCACTGTACAAGATGATCTTTTACTGTCTTCAGCCAAACGCCAAAAGCATTGTCAGCCAGCCCCTCTCAGGCTTGAAAGTATGCCCCTGATGAGCCGGACTCCAGACAGCATTCCTGATCAAACTCAAATGATGGTGAGTCAGATCCCCACCAACTCTTCAAACTCAGTTGTACCTGCTAGCAACCCAGCGCATGGTGACGGCCTTACCCGGCTATTCCCTCCTGGTAACAACTTTGTGGCACCTGCATTGAGGCAGACGGAAGTTCCATGTAGTTCTCAGCCTCCTGTTGCTGAGCAACAGCAGCAAACCCAGGCAAGTCAACATCTGCAGGCCCTGCAGCAGCATGTACCATCTCAAGGGGTGTCTCACCTTCATTCTAACCATCTCTACATCAAGCAACAGCAACAGCAGCAGCAGCAACAGCAACAACAACAGCAGCAGCAGCAAGCAGGACAGTTAAGAGAGAGGCATCACTTGTATCAGCTACAGCATCATGTGCCTCATGCAGACAGTGCTGTCCACTCCCAGCCCCATATTGTACACCAACAGAGAACTCTACAACAGGAAGTTCAGATGCAGAAGAAGAGAAATCTCGTTCAGGGTACTCCTGCCTCTCAGCTGTCCTTACAACCAAAACACCATGGGACTGATCAGTCGAGACCCAAGAGTAGTCAGCCACATCCTCACCATCAACAGATGCAGCAACAGATGCAGCAACATTTTGCAAGTTCCCAGCCGGAGAAGAGTTGTGAAAACTCTTCCACTAACCGGGGTCACCATAGCCATGCCCAGAACCATCTCAATCAAGATATTCTGCACCAGCAACAGGATGTTGGAAGCAGACAGCAAGGTTCAGCGGTTTCTTCTGACCATGTATCTGGACATAATCCAATGCAGAGGCTTTTGCCGTCAAGAGGCTTAGAGCAGCAAATGGTGTCCCAACCCAGTATTGTGACTAGGTCTTCAGACATGACCTGTGCTCCACACAGGCCAGAGAGAAACCGAGTGTCCAGTTACTCTGCTGAAGCACTCATTGGGAAGTCGTCATCTACTTCAGAGCAGAGAATGGGCATGTCGATTCAGGGCTCCAGGGTTTCAGAGCAGCTGGAAATGAGAAGCTATCTTGATGTTCCCAGGAATAAAAGCTTGGCACTTCATAATATGCAGGGTCGCATGGACCATCCTGTCCCCCTTCCTGATTGTCAGACATTTAAACCAGCTGGAGCCAGCCAACAGCCCCAGAGTAATTTTGAAGTACAATCTTCAAGAAATAATGAAATAGGTAACCCTGTGCCATCACTGAGAAGCATGCAGTCCCAGGCTTTTCGAATTAGTCAAAACACTGGCCCACCACCAATCGATCGACAAAAGAGATTATCTTATCCACCAGTTCAGAGCATCCCAACAGGAAATACTGTCCCACCAAGGGACAATGAGAATACATGTCACCAGAGTTTCATGCAAAGTTTACTTGCTCCTCATCTTGGTGATCAGGTCCTTGGGAGCCAAAGGTCACTCTCAGAACACTCAAGGAATACACAATGTGGTCCATCTTCAACAATTGAATATAATTGTCCCCCAGCTCGTGAGAGTGTTCATATTAGGAGAGAGAGTGAAAGTCAGAATAGGGAGAGTTGTGACATGTCTTTAGGTACAATTAACACCAGGAACAGCACTTTGAATATTCCCTTTTCAAGTTCCTCTTCCTCAGGAGATATTCAAGGTCGAAACACAAGTCCCAATGTTTCTGTACAGAAGTCTAATCCCATGAGGATTACTGACAGTCATGGGACCAAGGGCCACATGAACCCTCCTGTCACATCCAACATGCATGGGGTTGCAAGGCCAACTTTGCCACACCCGTCTGTGTCTCATGGGAATGCTGACCAAGGGCCTCCTGTACGTCAGGCTAACTCTTCAGTTGTCCATAGGTCAAGACATCCCCTGCAAGACAGCGGTGGTTCCAAAATCCGCCAACCTGAAAGGAATCGTTCTGGAAATCAAAGGCACAGCAATGTCTTTGATCCAAGTCTTCCTCATCTTCCTCTCTCTACTAGCGGCAGCATGATTCTTGGACGTCAGCAACCTGCTGCAGAAAAGAGAGGGAGTATTGTCCGTTTCATGCCTGATAGTCCACAAGTACCTAATGATAATTCAGGTCCTGACCAGCATACGCTGTCACAAAATTTTGGCTTCCCTTTTATTCCTGAGGGTGGCATGAATCCACCAATAAATGCGAATACTTCCTTCATTCCACAGGTTACCCAGCCTAGTGCTACACGAACTCCAGCTCTCATCCCAGTAGATCCCCAAAACACTCTCCCCTCCTTCTACCCCCCCTATTCCCCTGCTCACCCTACTCTGTCCAATGACATTTCAATCCCTTATTTTTCTAATCAAATGTTCTCCAATCCTAGCACAGAGAAAGTAAACAGTGGAAGTTTAAACAACCGATTTGGATCCATTTTATCTCCTCCCAGACCCGTTGGCTTTGCGCAGCCAAGCTTTCCTCTTCTCCCTGAGATGCCGCCAATGCACATGGCCAACTCTCACCTATCCAATTTTAATATGACATCATTGTTCCCGGAAATAGCAACGGCTCTTCCTGATGGCTCCGCGATGTCACCTTTGCTCACCATAGCGAACTCCTCTGCTTCTGATTCCTCCAAGCAGTCCTCAAACAGACCCGCTCACAACATAAGCCATATCTTAGGGCACGATTGCAGCTCAGCTGTTTAAATCCAGAGAGACTGAACGTGGGGCTTCGAGTTGATGCGACAAATGTTCTTGTGTGTATACATGTGCATTGAGAGAACTTGAGTGGGTGTGTGTCTTTGTTTTGGATAGCCATTTTTCATTTAGCTTCTGATTATAAGGAAGTCATGTCAGAGAGGATGCATACGCTGGGGTTGTCAAAACAATCATCTTTCATTTCTGAGTGATGTGCTTTCTTTAATCATTTAAACGATTTACCTTTCCAAGTTTGATTTGTAATCTTTTATTCCCAAAGTACTAATCAACCAGAAGTTAAGGAGATCTTGGCACATGCTGGATGGTAGAAAGGAGCTGAGATTTCAAATTCAGTTGTTTCTAAGTTGTAAAACAGATAGTTGAGATGGCTGAGTTGCAAATCCAAAAGCAAAAGCAACTTGAAAAAACACAATTCATCACTTGGTTGATGTCAACAGCTAACAGTTCTGCGCTGCGGCAAGTGATAAATTGGTAATGAGTTAAATTCCATAAGTCAAGCAGATAGAAAATACATGAAGTGTTTGATTCCTGAGCTCTGTTACAGGCACTTGTTTCTTAATTATAATTTTTAATAAACTACCTAAATTTCATGTCTTGTTCTTCAGAGAGCCACATTATCCTTTAATGTGCCAAGATCATGTAAAGCAAAAGTCTTCCTTAGACAATGAGCCTTAAGAGTACAAAGCTAAGACAGAATACAGGAATGCTTTCCACTTAGTACTTGGGTTTTGCATTAGTCCAAAGAAGAACAGCAGTTGTACTGTGGCTTTTCCTAAGGTCAGTTTGTGACCAGTGTTTCACCAGTTGAGTTGATTGGATATATTCTCCCTTCATTCTATTTATTTGGTCTTGAAACAGATTAATTTACAATCACTTAAGTATTAGAACTGCTCATATTGTGTTTAGAATATTGTCTTTAGAAGACACATTTGAGTCTTTTCAGATATTTCTAAATGGAGTTTTAAGCTGTCTCAGTATTTTAATTTACTGATTATATTAAAGGTTGCATTGTAAATTGCATTTTTATCCTTCATAATTTTAAGGAAATGAATTCATTATTTTTCTTGTAGGTATGAAATGGTGCTTCACAAAATACATTCTCTATGTATATCAGTGAGTTTATGAGTGAGAGTGCGTGTGAGAACGGGTTTTAAAGTATAGACTGGTCCTTGCTATTGGAGATGTCTATCATATATATAAATACATATATCATGTTGTACATGATAAATAATATAGTCTTGTCTCAATTAAAAATGAACAGTAGGACTGCCATCTGCAGGTGGAAAATTGAGACTTTCTCCAGAGCAGTGGCTCTCAGCCTTCCTAATGCAACCCTAACTGGTGACCCCAGCCATAAAATTATTTTCATTTCTACTTCATAACTGTAATTTTTCTACTGTTATGAACTGTAATGTAAATATCTGTTTTCCAATGGTCTTAGATGACCCCTGTGAAAGGCTGTTTGTGACCCACAGGTTGAGAACTCCTGCTCTAGAGCATGGGAAAACACGAGGTGGTTTTTTTTTTTTAATTCTCTCATACATTACATCCCAACCATAGTTTCCCCTCCCTCCACTCTTCCCAGCGCCCCTCCTCCACCTCTCCTCCAGATCCACTTCTCCATTTCCTTCTAGAACAAAAGAGCAGGCTTCCCAGGGACCTCAACCAAACATGGCGTGACGAGTTACAGTAAACTAGACAGAAACCTAATATCCAGGTTGGACAAGGCAACCCACTAGGAGGAAAAGGGTTCTTCTGTAGATGTTTCTTAACCCATTGAGTTAGTAACGATTTTAAAGCATATATTAAATCTTGAGAGCTTAAAACTAAGAAAAAATGATATGTACTGAATTTTTAAAAACCATTTAAACTCTTAGCTTTCAATTGTTGCTCTGTTCTGTTGAGAACGTTATCCTAATGAAGCCTCCCCGGCCTGGTCAGAGCAGATCCAGCTGAATGCCGGTCTACAGGCACAGTGGAAAGGAGGGTGCCTGTGCTCGGTCAGCTGTTTTCACCAGACCCCTCCCTCCGCTTCCACCGCCCTTGAAAATCACCCTGTCCTGGTGAACAAAGCAAACCCGTGTTTCCTCCCCACAGTGTTCCTGGGGGAGAAGAGAACATCACAGATGCATTGCTTAGCACATGAACAGCACAACAGATAAGTTACCAAGGACAGAGAGACTTTCCTGAATTGCTTTTAAGCATTAATATTCAGAGTTTTCTTTGTCCTTGGAAGGTCCAGTTTGCCAATTTCATTCTATATGGCCATTGATGACTCCCTCCCACCTTCTCTTAGTGGCTGTCTTTCACACATACACCCTTACATCATGGTGGCACTTGAGTTCTGAAGGGCAGGCTTGCTTTATTGGAACAAAGGTTATATGCCGTGGAGAAACTCCAGTTTTGTGTTGTTTCTGAGATAGGGATCTTGCTGTGTCATCCAGACTGGCCTTGAGTTCCTGAGCATAAACAGTCCTTCCACGTCCGCCTCCACTTAGCCAGGCCTAGGGGTGGACTCCACCACCCAGCTGAGGTGCTCCGTTTGCGATTGCAGCCTAAGTCCTAAAGGCTGTTAAGACTTGGAGTTTGTTTTGGCTGGTTGTCGGCAGCTCAGCTCTGTCCGGAGATAGCATTGCATTGTCAGGGGTTTTGTGCTGAGAGGACAGGACTGGGATGTTGTCTGACTCTCAGCCTTCTGTGACCATCTGGAGAGAGAGGTAAATAATTGGACTCCCGCTCACATGTGGCGCTAATTGAAGACATAATGCATTTGTGTGTGAGAGATCGTTCCATACATGGACTCAGATGAGAAATAGTTTGCACTGCACTCCTACTTGGTTTAACAATCTGGGTACTTAACAGTGTTAATGATTAAAGCTACATGATTTGGGGAGGAAACTTAAATGGTTTTTGGTAATATCTAGATAAAACTTTTGTTGAAGTAATGGAAGAAAATGCAGTCAAATTTGGTCATAAGTTTCATGTTGTCTAACCTTTTGACATGACTTTATAAAACATCTCCACAGATAACTTTGTAATTTCTGGAAATACACAAAATCATGTCTGCCACCTAAGTGAGAGTCATTGATCAACTCATTTTGTTCTATTTATTGATCATACAGAATCACTGAACGTGCTTTGTTCCTCTCAGCCTTCCACAGTTAAATTCTAATGAAGTGAAAAATTTTAGATTTCTCTATGTATACTTACTTCTACAGTGAGTTTGTTAAATATGTTGAGCATAGATGAAATAAATCCATTTTCATGTTTTTAATAGACATTGGGTTTTTATAAGTCTTATATTTCTTCAGGAGTTATGCTTTTATTTTTATTAGAACGTCTCTGAGATGCCAGTGGTCACTCCCTGTCTGAGTGGAGGGCAGGATTCCCACATCGGTGTGATTTCAAAAGTCTGAGAGATCTAAACCCTGGGGTTGGGAGGTGAGGTGTCTGCAGCAGTCTCCCGACACTGATCAGCATTATGCTGAACTGCAGTGGAGGCTAGCTTTTTTGGAAGACTTCTTTTGCCTTGCTCTTGCCTTCTGACGTTAGCCATCTCATGGAGAGGCTAAAACTTATACTCCAAAAAATAAATCAAAGAAACAGTAGAAATACGTTTTCATGGAAACATTGAAAATGTTAGGGTAATGCTTCTTCTTGGTTTTTTCTTTCCTTCATGCAGTGCTAGGCCCTTGCTGTCTCTCAGCTGTACCACATCAAACATGGCAGCCAGCCTGGCCACGTCCCTGGGATAGTTATGCCTCTGTTGGGATGTGATTGGGGCCACCCTCTCTATTAGATCAGCGTGTAGTAGTGAGTCCCAGGTTTTGCCTATTGGCAACCCCTATGCCTCCTCCTTAAAGGGCAATCATTCCTCCAAATGCCAGTATTTTCAAGTTGGTTTAAGAGATTTTAGTATGTGAGAATGACGCATTCCTTGGACGGGTGAACTTCTCCCCTGTACTGGAAGGAAAGGTTAAAGGTGGTACCAAACTAGAATAGCCTTGAGTCCATATCCTCGGATGCCTGAAAGTCACTGCAAGTCTGTCACCTAGGTGCTGACTGACTGGAAGAAGTGTGCCTTTGGCTGTTCCAGCTGGAGGGCAATCACTAGCCAATGACCAGAGAAATGAGTGTGGACTTAATCTCTGGGTGGTGGTTTTGTAATGTGTATATGCAAATTAATTTATTCTAGAGATGCCTTTCGGGCCGAATGTTAGCATTTTGTTTTCCTTCCCCAAAGTTCTACCAAAAAACAAGGATTTTGTTCCTTTGTCTGTTTTGTTTGCTTGCTTGCTTTTTGCTTAACTCCACTCTGCATCCTGCCCATGCTGTGCTGAATTCTACTATAGCACAATCTAAACTGTTCCTAGTAGCCTCAGATGGAGGCAGTCCGTGCGGGCTGGGAGGACACACTGAGGACCTTGGGCTCAGAGTTTCTGGTTCTAACCCTATGCCTCTGCTCTGGCACTGCACTCTACCTGAAACTGTGCCTCTGATCCTGAGACCAGGTCCCAGAACTATCACCCGGCCAGCCCTGCACTGCAGTGTAGGAGCTCCAGGGAGGGCACGTGCTGTGTAAGCAAACACCTCCTACACACCAAGTACAGCTGATGCTTATTACTCTTGCCTTACCACCTCTGAGCCATCGTCGACAAAGTCACTAGCGAGTTGTGTAGCTGAGCCTGTAAACGCAGAGCTTGTGTGGCAGGTGGTTCTTCCCCATCTCATTTCCACGTTTGCATAAACTCTACCTGGTGGTTGTGTTTTGTTGTTGTTGTTGTGTTTTGTTTTTTGTTTTTGGAAGGGGCATATGTATGTGGTCAGGTGTTTCAGCTTAGGTTGAGAATGTTGGGCATAATCTGCAAGTTGTTTTGGATGAATACACAATCTCATTAAATTTCATGAGACAGACAAAACCTCTCTTGTAGCACATTTTCAAAAAAAAAAAAAAAAGGGATCTTTAACTTTTTTTGGGCCCAGTTGTGTGTACAGCTGTACACACAGTATGTAATAGGAAACTGTAGTTTGACCTGTTTAATTTTGTCTTCACTCTTTCTGAGATCTCTCCGCCCTCCTGCTCCTGAAGTCTTCAAGTCCTTTTCATCTGTAAGGTCACTGGGCACAGGACTTGACGATAGTGACAAATTTTCAGGCTGTGGAACTGTTAACTTCCAAGAAGGGACCAGACGGTGTTGCTTAAAATGCCACAGTTGTGTTACTGTGAAGGAAAATTCTTCCATTTTCAGCAGGGTGTGTGTGTGTGTGTGTGTGTGTGTGTGTGTGTGTGTGTGTGTGTGTTTTCACTTTGGATTTTTAAAAGGTCGAAAATTGAGAACATGATTACTTTCCCGGATTATTTAGGGATACACTGGTTGTGATGCTGGCCGCAGACAAGCACCAGGAGAACATGAGTTTCAGCGCTTCAGTGGTGTGGTCTGTACCTACCACCCAGCCAGCCGTCTTCTGTGCACTGTGTCCTGTAACTGTAACCACTTGCTTTGTAATTCTAATGGAAACTACTTTGTTTTGTAATGGAATACAGAGCAGATATGTCTAATATGATCAAGATTGCCCTACAGTTGTAAATAAGAATAGGTCCTGTTTATTTTGGCATCTTTTTACAAATGCATTGTATTAGGATGTGAATATTCCAAAACATGCTCTTGTTTAAAGTTTTGAAATTTTTATTGTTAAATGTAACATTTTAATGGTTGTAATAATTATTTGTATGGATATGGATATAGTATTTTATTTAAGAAAATAAACTTTGCAATTTTTGCATTGTGAATTCTCATTTTTTATTTTTCTGATCATTTCCCATTTCAAGTCAGATCTTTGTCTTACATCTGTAGTAGTGTATTTAAGTTTTGCCATCTATCTGAAAAGAACCCATGACACATTTCATTGGGCGTCTGTTCCTAAGGTCACACCTCAAGTAAACCAGTTATGATCAGGGCTAAACTGTTAGAGCAAGCTGCACACCTGTCCATTCATCATAAAAAGTAAAATTAGAATCTCACATATGGAAGAGTGTTCAGTGATGATTCAGTCTGAAATCTCAACTGAGTAGTAGAAGAAACTAAAGCATAGAAATTTGAGGTGAAGGTTGGTATTGGGCTGGAGAGATGGCTCAGCTGTGAAGAGCACATACTGTTCTTTTAGAGGGCCCCATGACAGGTGGCTCGCGCCACCTGTAACTCCTGCTCCAGGGGATCTGACACCCTCTTCTGCCCTCTTCAAGCATCTGCACCCAGGCTCATACCCACTTAGACACACGTAATTAAAAAGGAAATCTTTTAAAGAAAGTTGGAGGACCATGAATGGTGGCACACACCTTTAATCCCAAACACCCGGGAGGCAGAAGCAGCCAGAGCTACACAGTGAGCCCTGCTTTAAAAACATAACTAAGAGTTGGATATGTTGCTATAACTGTAGCAACTGAGTTAAAAACTTAAGCACAATTTATAAGGGGAAAACTGAATTGCAGAGTATAAAAGTTTATACAAAACTATATAAAGTTGTTATTTTGTATAAAACTTACATAAGCTTTATATTGTTTTGCTTTTGTTTTATAGACAGGGTCTCACACTATGTAGCCTTCGCTGACCTGGAATCAACTAGCCTCTTGCTTATTGTCCAAGGTACTGCTATCACAAGTATCACATCTGGCTAAAATTATATGAAGTTTGAGGCTGAGGTGTAGCTCAGTGGTAAGGGATTACGTGTGAAGCACAGGGCCCTGGGTTTGATTATCTATAGGTCCTTCCAATCAATGTATTGTTTTCAGATGGGGTAAAAACGATACAGAAATGATCAACCCCAAATTCAGAATAAATAATACTTAGAAAAGAGCAGCTTGGCATAATATAAAGAAAAAGTACTTCAATAGTAATATGGTCACTTGCATTTGGGCAGCAGATAGTCAGGGGTTGGTCTCATTTATGCCTTGAGTGTTAGGATTCTCTGAGGAGCAGAATTAATTGAATGGATACACACACACACACACACACACACACACACACACACACACACATTATATGTATATAAAAGGGGGAATTTATTCAGTTGGCTTACATGGGTCGTGCTGGGCTCTTGCACAATGGACTGTCTGTTGAAAAGTTGCTCAGGCCGGGTGGCTGGATACCTCAGCAGTCCCAGTGTGGTGCTGGGAGGACTGGAATATTCCTAGAGAGCCCCCGGTGTGCAGGGCGTGTTGGAAAATAGAAGGGGCTGGGTTCCAGGGGCAGCAGAGGCTGGCAGGAGCAGTGGCGGGGATAGTGTGGATTCACCCCCCAGCAAGGGTGAAGGCGGGCAGGTGAGAGGCCACAGCTTTTCACTAGAACCTCCTGGTAGCCGGTCCCCCACCAGGAAGTGCCTTCCATCCTGGGAGAGGGGCTTCCTCAGCTAATCATTTTAAGAAATACTCTAGTAGACCTGCCCAAAGGAGTATCTGATATTGATTTCAGATCTCATCAAGTTGACAAGATCAGCCTTCACACCTCATCTTTATCTTGTCCTATGTTAACTGTTTGTCACCATGACAAGTTCCCGAGAAAACAGTTTGGAAGGAGAAAAGGTTTGCTTTGGACTATGATCTCCAGGTTCCACTCTGGTTGGCTGGATCCTTTGTTTCTGGGCCTGTGGTATGGCAGAGCAGCGTGGAACAGCAAAGCTGCCCACTCAGTGGTGGCCAAGAGGGCAACAGATACAAGGGGGTCGGAGTAAGAAAAGCCCTGGTGAGGGGTGGGGGCTGGAAAGATGGCCCAGCAATTAGAAGCATGTAAATGCTCTTACAGCGGACCCCAGGATGGTTCCCAGCAGTCATGTTGAACAGCTCACTACTGTCTGTAACTCTAGTTCCAGGTGCTTTTTGGTGTTTTGAATGAGATGTCCCTCATGGTCTTTGGCATTTAGATGGTTGGTCCCTGGTTTGGGAGGTTTGGGTGGTGTGGTCTTGCTGGAGGAAATGTGTCACTGGGGCTGGGGGGGGGGCTTTGAGAGTAAGAAGTCTAGCCTACTTCCAGTTTGTCTCTTCGAGTCATGCTTGAGGTAAAGGAAGAGAAAGCGCTCAGCTTCCTGTTCCTGCCACTCGCTGGATGTTCCCAGCCATGATGGACTGGTCCCTCTGGAACCATAAGCCCAATTAAACACTGTAAGTAGCTTTGGTCATGGTGTTTTATCACAGCAACAGAAAAGTAGCCAGTATGGGATCTCACAAGCTCTCTGGTCTCTGGGCACCTATACTCATGTGCACATACAGGTATAATTAAGAATAAAACAATAAAATAGCTTTAAAACAAAAAATAAGAAAATCCCCCCAAAGACATAACCTACTTTCTCCAACTAAAATCTAGCCTCTGAGATTTTCCATTACCTCCAAATAATGCCATCAATCGTGATTGTGTCAACTAGAAAACTACTTGGTGATCAGGTCAGGGGCCTCATGTTCCCGGGCCCTCTCAATGACTGGATCTGTCAGCTCAATACCAAGCCTACAATACACGAGCAACTGGGTACACTTCATGTTTATAGCATAGCATAGTCTAATACATAAATAGAAAATGAGAGCCACAAAGGTCACATAAGTACCCCAGGAAAGGAGTGCACAGGACTTCAAAGCCCACAATATTTTCCTTCTCCTAGCTTCCTGAGAATCGAGATTAAGACATGATCTGCTGGGGCTGGAGGGAAATGGCCCAGTGGTTAAGAGCACTTGCTGCTCTTCCAGAGGACCTGGGTTCGATTCCCAGCACCCGTATGGTGGCTCCCAACCATCTGTAACTCCAGTCCCAGGGGGATCTGGTGCCCTCTTCTGGTTTCTACAGGCACCAGGACCAAAGTGGTACCCAGACATACGTGCAGACAAAGCACTCATACACCTAAAATAATAAGAGTAAAACAGAGGAACACTTGTGACGGAAGTGCAAGCTGATGTTGGTTTCTCTTGACCGAGTCCAGCAGCATCGTCAAGTTTTTCTGCCTCTCCCCCATCACCCCACGTGATGGACTAACCTATGCCCTCAGCCCCCCTGTTTCTGAGACATCTGTGCTGCTGTTTTGTGTCTGGCAAAGCTCCATAACTTCTCTGTGTCATAGTTTATGTGTTTGTTGCTACCATTACCTGCCCTACCTACCTCACAGGTGTTAGAAAAGACAAAAAAATTATATCTGCAAGGGTCCCCCCACACACTGCTGCAAAACAACAAAAATCTTGCTTTGTTTCCATCTCTCTAAACTTGCGACTGAACCTCAGGCTTCCACCGCGGTCTCTTTAGCTGAGCAACACCAACTTCTACCTTGGCCATTTCTTTTCCCTGTGAGACATTAAGGAGGTGAGGTTACTCTGCTTCCTGGGTAAGTCGGCAGTCAGGTAGTTTGGCTGAATAGTATCTCGGGACCACTTTTTCATGCCATCAAGTAAGCTACGGATGTTTTGGAAGATGGAAATCCGGTTTTGAGACAAGTTTGTTCTCTGCACTGCTGGTTATCAGTGATGTTTCCTTCCCTCCCTTAGCTTCAGATCTGTGGGTCCGCAAAGAGCCCGCATCCAGACTGATGTGATGAACTTCCTGCGTCAGAGACTTTCCTGGAAGTCCATGCTTCAATTAGGCTAGATCCTGGTGTTTTGGTTGATGTTATGGAGTGACCATGCAGATTCACATTGTATACACACTACACTTGTGTGTGTGTGTGTGGGGGGGGGTTTTGCATCATTTCTGGACAAACTTAGAAATATTTTGTCATCTTACTACAAATGAAGAAATATGGCCAGGCAGTGGTGGCACATGCTTTTAATCCCAGTTCTTGGGAATTAAAACCACAGCCTTATCGGAGGTGAGGGCAGGACCCAGATACCAAAATCAAAGATGGTTCCATCACTGAAGAGACTTGGAGACTCTGTCTTGTCCATTGGGCTGACACCGTTGTCTCAGAAGTCCTGCTGGATGACCTTTGACCCTTGGCAACTGTTTGAGTCTCTGATGTTTTTTGTTTGTTTGTTGGAGGGGTTGAAGCACGGTTTCTCTGTACAGCCCTGGCTGTCTTGGAACTTGATCTGTAGCCCAGGCTGGCCTCGAACTCACAGAGATCCGCCTGCCTCTGCCTCCCAAGTGCTGGGATTAAAGGCGTGCGCCACACCACCACCCGGTCTTTTTTTTTTTTTTTTTGCTTTCTTTCCATTTTCAACTTTAGTTTTGAATCAGCAGGCTCCCAGGGGTAACCTGAAACTTTACAGCGTGTGGATTTTAATTTAAAATGAGAGCATTTGGGTCTCGAGCTCTTTGCCAGTGTAATCACTGAATTTATATAAAAAGAAAAAGAAAAAAGACTTTAATTCTGAACTCAGAGGCTTTGAAATGGATGGAGCCATCCTCACATGAGTCCTGCGTTTCCAATTTAGAGATCCGGAAAGTTCCAAAACTTTAGTTTCGTTGCCTGGCTCTCCAGTGGCCTTGCAGGTTCGTTATAACTAAGTTTCTGTAAAGGCCACATATCTTCTGGGCTTTCTGAATAGCTGTTGCTTTCTGTTCATAAGCTCAGCTGCTCGGCGGTTCTATAACCCCAGGCTGTGTGTCTGGCATGTGCGGAAGCACACCCAGAGAACGGCTGGGTCTTCCCTGGGGTACAATCGTGTCTTCTTTGGTCTGACCCCAATCACACCTTCCTGACTGGAAATTCAGGTTTCTGCAGCCGTGGTCCTTCCCCTAGTGATTTCTCTTAGCATCGGCTTCTCCATGTGGGGCATGGGGAGGGTTTCAGGATTGGAACCAGAGACATGCGCAGTACTGG